AGCAGCGGACAGATCCAGCAAGATAAGTATTGAAGATTTGAAATCCGCTCTTGTCAGTCTTAGGTCTTCAACAACTGAGAGCAAGGCAGTCTCGGTTGAATTTCCACTTCTGAAACCAGACTGGTTGCTGTCAAGGAGGTTGTTCTGTGTAAAAAAGGCAGAGACTTGGTTGAACACATCTTGTTCAAGTGTTTTTGCAATGAAAGGAAGAAGGGAAACCAGTCTGTAGTTCTCTAAAAGAGATGGGTTAAGGGTGGGTTTCTTCAGTAGTGGGGTTATACGAGCCTGTCTAAATGTTGAGGGAAAAACACCAGTGTGAAGGGCTATGCTAATGATGTGAGTGAGTGCAGGTTCAGCTGCAGGCGAAATGGCTTGAAGGAGATGAGATGGAATAGGATCAAGCAGACAAGTAGTAGGATGATTAGAAAGGATGAGTTTGGAGGCTTCTGCCTCAGAGAGTGAAGAGAAGGATGTGAATGAGTGTATGTTTGCTGGTTAGATGTGCTTGACAGATTGTGGTGTGGAAAATTGTACACTGATGTTATTAATTTTATTAATGAAAAATGTGGCAAAGTCGTCAGCTATTAGAGTTGATACAGGAGCGGGAGGAGGAGGACAAAGGAGCAAGGAAAATGTTTTAAAGAGCATGCGAGAGTTAGACAAATTGGTAATTTTGTTATGGTAGTATGTCCTTTTAGCAGTGGGACATTAGCAGAGAAGGAAGAGAGGAGTGACTGATACACATTAAGGTCAGTAGGATTTTTGGATTTGCGCCACACCCTTTCAGCAGCCCTGAGATTAGAACGATTATCGCGGAGAACATCAGATAACCAAGGGGCAGAAGGGGTGGTATGGGCTGGCCTGGAAGACAAGAAGCAGACAGTGTCTAAACAAGATGTAAGAGTGGAGCAGAAAGTATCATTAGCTTAGGGGAAGGAAGTGAAGATGAAACCATAGCAGATAGCCGGGAGGGTGAGAGTGAGCATAGGTTACGTCGAAAGATGACATGTGGAGGGGTATGTGTTGTGTCAGGAACCATGTTGAGGTTAAGAGTGAGGAGGAAGTGATCTGAGGTGTGCAGTGGACAGTGTTGGGCAAGTTACTGCCAAAATATAATACATTATATATTACTTATTACTTCCTTTTAAAAGTAATTAGTTACATTACAATATTACTGTCTCTGAATTGTAATGCGTTACACTACTTTTAAGTTACTTGTGAGTTACTTTCACTATCAAGCACAAACCACAATTAACCTACATTCAGAAATAATAGCGGTAAATAAAGTGGAATGTTATAGGTCCTTTGTTCTCACGCAGCCTACCTCTATCATTCTGCACGAATCCAAATGTTTCCATATTCGCGATGTATTTGAATGCTAAACTATTAGCCTATTTAATAGGCTTTGTAAACCATGCTTTTGTAGGCTACTTAACACGCTTTCCGGAAAAAAAAAATCACACTCATGAACAAATATGTGCTTGGCCCGAGCTCAGGCTGAACGACACGGATTGTACAGATGATTTTAATTAACCAGTGAATCTATATTTGGTTGACTGTATTTTATTCTGATAATGAACGGCTGCAATGTTTGCAATGCTGTATGTGTGTGTGTGAGGCGCCGGCGCAATCGAACAGCGGAAACATAAAATAATCCGTAATTTTTGGCCATACAGATCCTTCGAAACTGCATTGTGTTTACTTTTATTTTAGGATGCGCTTGTCATCTCGGTTTCTTTTCCGTGAACTTTTGCAGAGCGCAGCGCCACAAAACTGAACCAAACTCAGCAGCATATTTTACATTATTGTCTTTTTTCTTTTCTTTCGTTTTGTTAATCTGTTAATTATTTGAGTCAAATATATTTCGCGTATTAATTCCTTTTATATGTAGACTACGATTTAATAAAAACAAATTATTTTTAGTTAAACTTAATTTTTGTTGCTTGTCTGCGCTCATCCGCCACATTCTTTCTCTTCTTCGACCCCGCAGTATGCCCATCTCACAAATGTAGAATCCGTCTCAGTCTTCTCAACCATCGAATTACAGCAACAGGAAATACACAAAGAATTTATTGAATTTATTGTCTGGTGCTGTTTTGCAGTGTTGGTAAATTCACCACTTAATTTTGAGTTAAAATATGTTGTTGTAACGTGCGTTACTGAGATTGTAACGAGTAATAATATTACCCAAATTTTATTAGTAATGCGTTATATTACTGCGTTACAGCAAAAAGTAATATACTACTGTAATATCGTTACTTTTGTAATG